GTCGAATTCGGTTCGGCTCCTCCTCCAACTGCTCTCCAGGCGTCTTTTCCGGCGCTTCATCTCTCTCAGCTCCCCGGTAAACCAGGGAGCCAATTGAGATCTGCGCCGGGTCAGAGGCCGCAAAGGCACGACTCGGTCCAATGCTGCGGCAGCGGCCGTCTCCCAGGCCGCCGCCAGATTGTCAACCGAATCGTGAACTCTCAGCATGGGTTCTGTTACGAAAAAACAGGATCAAGGAAATGGGTCTTAAAACTCACTGAACTCGGCAGGATGGGGTCACAAGGAAGCCTGCTCACCAGTTCGAGTTTCTCCTGCTCCTTCTCCTGAATCTGTCCCAGGTGCTCCGCAAGGTCTCTCCGGCCGAGGGGTCCCTCCAGATTGTTCTTGATCTGTAAGATCTCCTGGGAAATGCCGTTGAATGCCACGGTGATCTCGTGCACCAACTGGCGATAGCGGAGGAAGTCGTAATCAGGGCTGCTTCGGAGATATGCCTGGTGACCCCTGTTTTGGGGAGGGGGATATTAGCAGAGAATTGAGAAAGAGATTTTCCTACTGGTAAGGGGAACAGAGGGCAACACGCAAAGATCTGAGGGAAGCCGATGAAAAAAACTGAATTTTAAAGTCAGCCACTTGAACTTGTGAGCTACAAGCCCCCCCCCCCCCAAGGGCAAATGATCCATTTTCCAAACAACCAAAATTCTTGGAAGCAAAACATATCCATTTCTTCTCTGAAAAATCTCCCCTGCATCCCCTAGAAGGCCCAGATTTGATCCCTGGCAATAGTTGATCCTGAATAACATTTATAAAAATAGTGACAAGCAAACAGTCTTCAAGTTATGAGATCAGAAGAGCACAACCAGAGGACTGGCTATACCAGGGGTCCTCAAACTTGGCCACTTTAAGACTTGTGGACTTCAACTCCCAGAATTCCCCAGCTAGTCCACAAGTCTTCAAGTAGGTATCAGGACTTTTTCTATACAGATAGTGGCGATTAAATTCTGAAATATTCTCTCAACGGGGAGCTAACCAGCTCCTCTCTCTTTTTCTCTATGGAAACCCTCATTTGGGAACTCCTGTTTAGTTTGTTGCCTTCAAGATTTCTAAGCCACTATCACAATGGTTAGTCAACCACCTTGGCAACGTTTAAGAGGTGCGGACTTCAACTCCCAGAATTCCCCAGCCAGCCCTCTTAAAATTGCCAAGGCTGAAAAACAGAGCACTATTAACTTATCTTGCTCCTAACAACCTGGGCAATTTTTATTTCTTCTTTTAATCCTCTAAAAACAGCAAGACCCACCAATTCTGGGGACTATGAGGTCCATATTCATCAGCAATTGCATGTCACAGGGTAATGGGAGAGGGTCAGACTGGATGACCTCACTTGCCCCCCCTTTTTTTTTACAAACTTGGCTATAAAATACATGGACTGATAGGCTCGGCTTCCCATTCAAGATGCTGGATGCTCATTCAAAGACCCTCCCTTGTGTTAATCTTGGATAGGATTATTTTCTCCCCTGCTGGGAGGGGAGGCTTGATTGATTTATCAATGGCTGCCCTCCCGGAGAGACACCTTTGCCTAGAGAGGGTTATCACCCCATCTCCTGGGACACCAAAAGCCTGTTTGTGGGGGGTTTGCTGGCTCGGGGATTGGATTCCCCATCCGCAGAAGTAAATTATCTCCACACCAGGTTCCCCACAAGCAGCCCACAAGGAGTTTTTCTCTGCAAATAGATCACAGGTGCTGGGTGGGTGCTGCCCCCTTGCTCATCTGGTTTCCATCAGGCACCGGGAGCCTGGGGGTGTGTGTGAAAAGGGGGGGAGGTCGAGAGGAGGCCTCCTGCAGGGCCCCCCTTGAATCGAGTGGTGTGCAAATAAAAGAGAGGGGGGGAGAGGAGGAGACTGGAAGAGCCCACCGGCTTTCCAGGGCATTTTGTAGCATGCAAAGCAATTGGTAGGACCCGGGGTTCTGCAAAGGAAGCTCAGTCTGTCTAGACTCTTTTTGTTTAGAACATAGAAAAACAGCGTTGGAAGGGACCTTGGAGGTCTTCTAGTCCAACCCACTGCTCAAGCAGGAGAACCTATACGATTCCAGACAAATGGCTATCCCAGGGGTAGGCAACCTTGGCTCTTTTATGACTCGTGGACTCCCAGAACTCCTGAGCCAGCCATGCTGAGGAGAAAGGGAGAGGTTTCCATGCCGAGCCAGGCCGGCTCAGGAATTCTGGGAGTTGAAGTCCACGAGTCATAAAAGAGCCAAGGTTGCCTACCCTGCCGCTCTCCAGTCTCTTCTTGAAAATCTCCAGTGATGGAAAGTCCATCACTTTAATCACTTAATTTAATCATTTTGAGACAAATAACTATGAGGGGTCCTTGGTGTTCTCTGAGCTTGGTTGTTTTCTTGCAGAAACCTCATTCTTTACCAGCACTGATAACGTTACCTACTTGGGTCGAAGATTTTAGGGAAAAAACAACCTGCTCAAACACTTACTCCTCCAAGAGGCGGTAAGCTTCTACTCGCTCGGTCTGCAGGGCGTAGAAACGGTGCACCAAACTTTGCACATTCATCCTTGCAGCTGAAAAGAGGAGGCAAGCTTGTCAGAGGAAATAAAAAACATGAGGCCTTTGGCCCAATGTGGTGGCCACAAGAATGATTTTGTCGAGGGGAGCAGAGTGGGGCAAATATCTAAATTAGCATCAATCCGTCAAGGTTTATACCAGGGGTAGGCAACCTTGGCTGTTTTATGACTCGTGGACTTCAACTCCCAGAATTCCTGAGCCAGCCATGCTGAGGGGAAAGGGAGAGGTTTCCAAGCTGAGCCATGCTGGCTCAGGAATTCTGGGAGTCGAAGTCCACGAGTCATAAAAGAGCCAAGGTTGCCTACCCCTGGTTTATACCTACCCATTCGTACATACAGGAAATCCTCGACTTACAACAGTTCATTTACTGACTGTTCAAAGTTACAATGGCACTGAAAAAAGTGACTTATGACCGTTTTCATCCTTATGACCACTGTAGCATCCCAATGATCATGTGATCAAAATTCGGGCACTTAACAACTGGCTCATATTTATGATGGTTGCAGTGTCCCCAGGCCACGAAATCCCTTTTTGCAATCTTCTGTCAAGCAAAGTCAAGGGGGAAGCCAGATTCACTTAACAATTGTGTTATTAATTTAACAACTGCAGTGATTCACTTAACAACTGTGGCAAAGAAAGTTCGTAAAGCGGGGCAAAAATTCACTGGACAAATGTTTCACTTAGCAACAGAAATTTTGGGCTCAGCCGGGGTCATAATTTGAGGACTACCTGTACTTGGTGGGCGGCAAGTAAAATAAAATAAATTTCTATTTCATTGGCCCTTAAAAAGAAAAGGAAGGAGGAAATAGCCAACTTTTCGGGAGGAAAGAGCTGCTGAAAGAGATATTTATTCAAGGAGGAGATGGAGCCCCCATGTCTCAAAGCAGTCTAGCTTGGACTGCCCAAAGAGTGGGAATAAAGGAGAGGGGTTAAAGCATGGATTATAAATCACCTTGCTTCCATTGGCGGACTTTGAATCTCAGCAAGAGAATTTGTAAGTGCTTTTTTTTTCTCTTCATTTTTCCATTTTCGGGAAATGAGAAGCAGCCTGTCAGACCTGCCTGTACTTTCAAACCCTGAAGCTGCTTTGATCAAAACAACAGTTTGCAATTAGAAAAAAGGTTCTTTGGTGTCCACCCTGCATTAAAAGGGGGACTAACAATGGGCTTCTTTGCTCTTGCACGTGGGTGTGCAATTGAGTGTGACATTGATCGGGGGGGGGAACCCTTTAAAGTTGGCATTCCCACAGTCTTTTCTCCTCTCCCCACCTCAGAAGTGTGCTTGGCCAGACCATGTCTGGTTTGGCTGCTTGGCCTAAGATCCTGTTTTGCCAAAATCCAGTTTCTCGCCCTCCATAAGAGACGTCCCCCCCCCCGGACCCTTTCAATCCCTTCCCTTACCTGCAAATCCTAGCAACACAACAGTGTGGCACTCCCAGTTGGCGCTAACCTTTGGGGGGTTTGGGCTACGCAAGTGGCGTTGACGAGATTTTGGCTTCTCTTTGCACACTCCCTCTCCAAAATACACACCCTCATTCATTCTCTCTCACTCTTGCGCATATGCACACATGTGTATATACAGTACACAGCAGCTGCATCTTTTAACTTGGCACTTGGGGGGGGAGAGCATGCTTCCCCTCAACAGAATGTACAGCGATGTGAGGGCCAAATTGCAGCAATCTTGCTGGCTTGCAAGGGCCCCCCACTCCTGCCATGGGCCCCCACATTGGCCAGCTGCTTCGTCTTGCCTTCATCCTCCAGAAATATCCTGATTTATTTATTTATTACATTTGTGTGCCATCCATCTCACTATTGAAGCTACTCTGGGCAGCTACAATTACAGGTAATCCTCAACTTATGACTGGTTGCTTAGCAACCATTCAATTTTACAAGAGACCCGAAAAAGGGAACTTACAAGCCAGCTCCCAACGTTCCAATAGTGCGCGCGCACACACACACACACACACACACACACACACAGAATCATGTGACCTTATTTCGCTCACTTGGCAGCACAACCGCATTTATGGCTGTTTGCAGTGTCCGCGGTCACTTGCTGGTTTTAGGATGGTTTTCTTTTACCAAAAACTGGCATTGACATCTAGATTTTTGTCCAAACAGCGCCATAGCAAATCATGGGCTTACTTAATGACCGCAGTGTTCACTTAATGATTGCCACAAAAAGCTCATAACGTTGGGTCTGACCCATTTTACGTTTGTGGTGACTTACCACTGTAATGTACAGTCTCCATAATAATAATAATAACAACAACAATACAGTTGGAAGGGACCTTGAAGATCATCTAGTCCAACCCCTTGCTCAGACAGGAAACCCTATACCAGGGGCGTCAAACTTGCAACATCATGTGACGTGTCGCGACATATCGTAACTTTTTTGGCCATTGCCGGCAATGAGATGGGTGCAGTTTCACTATGGTGCATCCAGCCTGCGGGCCGGCAGTTTGACACCCCTGCCCTATACCATTTCAGACAAATGGCTGTCCAGTCTCTTCTTAAAATCTTCCAGGGTTGGAGCATCCACCACTTCTGGAGGCAGATTGTTCCACTGGTTAATTGTTCTAACTGTCAGGAAGTTTCTCCTTAGTTCTAGGTTGCTTCTCTCCTTGCTTAGTTTCCACCCGTTGCTTCTTGTCCTGCCTTCAGGCGCTTCGGAGAATAGCTTAACTCGAGGACTCCCTGTACTTTCTTTCTGTAGGTAGGTAAATAGTGTCTTTGTTCTGACCTTGCCACCGAAAGTATGTTCTAAGACACTTTCAACATACAGAGGGTTTTTTTTTGGCAGACTGGGGAGGACCTTTCTGGTAATAAGAGCCTCGATATAGAGTTCTCGCCCCTCTTATATTTCACACAAATAAAGCTGACAGGATCCATGTGGTGTCCAGGCCCTTCAGAGGCACCCTCAGTCATGGTTACAATTTGCACACTTGTGAAATGGGAAGGTAAATTTATCTGCCTCTCTCAGGTCCTTCGGAAGGTCTTAAAAGGTGCATAAAATGCCCGATCCTAATAATTTTATCTTTTAGACCATCCTTCCTTATGCTCAAAAAATGCCCCATAAAAACTAGTCCTTGACTTACAACAGTTCGTTTAGTAACCAAAGTTACAGTGGCATTGAAATCAGTGACCATTGTTCACAGTTAGTACCACTGCAGCAGCCCCATGGTCAGGTGATCAAAATTTGGATGCTTGGCAACTGAATAATAATAATAATAATAATAATAATAATAATAATAATAATAATAATAATAATAATAATAATAATAATAATAATAATAAAGTTGGAAGAGACCTTGGAGGTCATCTAATCCAACCCCCTGCTCAGGCAGGAAACCCTATACCATTTCAGACAAATGGCTGTCCAGTTTCTTCTTAAAAACTTCCAGTGTTGGCGCATTCACCGCTTCTGGAGGCAGGTTGTTCCACTGGTTAATTGTTCTAACTGTCAGGAAGTTTGTCCTTAGTTCTAGGTTGCTTCTCTCCTTGATTAGTTTCCATCTGTTGCTTCTTGTCCTGCCTTCAGGCGCTTTGGAGAATAGCTTGACTCCCTCTTCTTTGGGGCAGCCCCTGAGATACTGGAACACTGCTATCATGTCCCACTCGTCCTTCTCTTCGTTAAACTAGACATACCCAATTCCATCAACCTTTCCTTATATGTTTTAATCTCCAGTCCCCTAATCATCTTTGTTGCTCTTCTCTGCACTCTTAGGATGGTCGCAGTGTCCTGGGATCACGTAATCATCTTTTGCAACCTTCTGACGAGCAAGGTCAATGGGGGAGCCCCATTCACTTAACAACCATGCTACTAATTTCACAACTGCAGTGATTCGCTTAACAACTGTGGCAAGAAAGGTCGTACAATGGGGCAAAGCTCACTTAACAAATGTCTCGCTGGGCCCAGTTGTGGTTGTTAAACTGAGGACTACCCAGTGGTGGGATTCAAATATGTGAACAACCAGTTCTCTGGATGGATGCCGCTTCCGGAAGTCCGTTCTGGGCCTGGGCAACAAAAAATTAGCTACTGGTTCTGCCGAACTGGTGGGAACCGGCTGAATCCCACCACTTATGGACTTCAACTCCCAGAATTCCTCAGCCAACATGTCTGGCTGAGGAATTCTGGGAGTTGAAGTCCACAAGTCATAAAAGGGCCAGGTTTGAAGACCTCCTGCTTCAGAATGTTGGGGACTGTGTTGGCTGTGGATGATGGGGGTTGTAGTGTAACAACTTCAGATGGGAACCCCACCAGTCAAAAACGCCTTGCAGATATTCTCCACTCATTTCTTTCTCAACTTCCCAAAGGCTTCACTTCTAGGCCTCCTGCGCCCCCTAGTGGGCATTCCCGAGTTAGCCGAGCGCTGCTTCCCTCTCCCGCTCTCCCCGTGATTTCCTGTTTTTCTCCTCCACCTGTTTTCTTGCACTGGGTTTTATTTACTTATTTATTTTGCAGCAGCCGTCACGCAGCTGCTCGAACCTTCTGGTTCTAATGAAGGGGCCGCCACTGTATATCACACACGCACATGCACACACATCTCCCTTCGACCCTCTGCTGCAACAACCCACATTCGTTCACCATTGCATTGGATCAAACCACTCTGATTAAAGCAGAACTACAAATAATCAGAGCAGTGATTATTGGCAATTTTAAGACACGTGGACTTCAACTCCCAGAATCCCCCAGCTGGCTGACCATCCTGCAGAATTCTGGGAGTTGAAAGCCACACGTCCTAAAAGTTGCCGAGTGTGGCTAGAATCATGGAGTGGCTGTGGTCTCTTTCCTGCTTTATCAATCAGGAAACCCCCTAAAATGATTTTTTTTTTAAAAAAGGGAAAACACTGCAATCAAATCGATCGATCGAGGTTTTTAGCAGACATAACCCTGGCTACAAACAATCCACCCCCACCCCGCCCCTCGGCAACTCTTCCAAAACGTGAGGATCTGACTAACACGGTAAATGTCTCAAAATATAAATATAAATATATAAATAGCACGACAGGTGCCAGTTCCGGTGAACCCCATTTTGCAGAATCAGGAAGCACTGAAGGCGGCCAAGATAAGATAAGATAGATAAGATAACCTTTATTGTCATTTTTTTTACTGTGGGCACAACGGCACACATCAAAAATGAAATTTAGTTGCCCGCTCTCAAAGTGAAACATACATGACACACACCTAAAACATACTATGTACAACGTATGTATAGACCCACACCCCTACATATACATAGCAAATAAATATTAAATACTGTCCATCTTGAGTATATAACGGAAGGAGGAAGCTTCACAAGGTTAATGCTGTATGGAATGAAACTATGGCTGAATCTGGATCTCTATATATTAATGCCTGCAATTTTTATGCCAATCCTTCTCCCCGCTCTATTGGTAAATTCGAATAGTAGAGAATTGTCCTAACTTTGCAATATACTCGAAGCATAGCCTACTCTGATTCTAGTTTGGAAACCATGTAACTCGCATCTCTGCAGCGTCACCCTGTTGTGGTTATTCTCTAAATATTTAAAATCGGAGAAACTTACCCCAGCTCTGCAGGGGACTACTCACAATTTTGCAAGCCCCAAAGACTGACGAAGTTATTTTGAATCCTCCAAATCGTTTTTTCTCCTTAAGGAACTCTTGAATATCTGCCGAGGTTGGTCGCTTAACCGTTTAACGCCCACAACGGCAGCCAACTGTGTGCAGATGTGAAACATCTTTTTAGGGGATGTTTGCTTAGGAAATGAAAATGGCGTTCAAAAGGAGAATGGTGGCTTCCAGCGTTCATTTTCTGATCTGCTATTTCAAAGTCATGGCTTTAAATCCTCAATTCCTTCAATGAGTCCATGGACAAAGTTGTCTTTCCTGGGAATGTAGGAATAAACTATCTTGAAAGCGACTAAGCAAACAAATGATGGGCTCTTCTGCACTTAAAGTCTACGTTCTTCTTAGATAACCTGCCCTTCCTTCCGGGTAACCCATATGAGCCCGAATCTTTGCAACAGGGTGCTTTGCTGCCCCCTGCCGGCCAGACGGACTCATAACAAATCATTGAACTGGGGACCAGTTTTCGGTAATATATTCATTTTCACTGTAGCAATTTTTCCTAATAATGACAATTGCAAGTTTTTCCATTTTTCCAAACCCACTCTTATTTGATTCAATAATTTTGTATAATTATCGTCTTTTATTGTTGAACATCTTGCTGTTAAATATATTCCCATGTATTTAACCCTTTTAACTATTTGTAGTTCTATTTTTTCTGACATTTGTTTTTTTTTTTGTTTATCTGAAAGATTTTTAACTATTACTTTAGTTTTTTTCTCTTTTTATTTTCAGTCCTGCTATTGGTACTACCCTTGGTCGCCTTTCTATTTGTAGGTCTTTGTATTCTGTTATCTTCTCCAGTTCTTTCTCTTCTCTTCTGCTGTCTCCAGGCACTGTCACGTCCAGTATCCAGACTTTTTTGTCCTTCTTATTGACAATTGTTAAGTCTGGGGTGCTATGTGGCAGGTGCTTGTCTGTTTGAATTCTAAAGTCCCAGAGCAATTTAACATTTTCATTTTCTATGATTTTCTCTATTTTATGGTCCCACCAGTTCTTGCTTGCAGGCAAATGATATTCCTTGCAGATTTTCTAATGCACCATTGTTGCTACTTTGTCATGCAACTGCTTGTAATCAGTCTGGGCTATCTTCCTGCAGCAGTTTACCTGGTGGTCCACTGTTTCTTCAGCATCTTTGCATAGGTGGCACTTACTGTCTGTTGCTGTCTTCTCAATTCTGGCTTTGTATGCATTTGTCCTTAAGGCTTGGTCTTGTGCAGCCAGAATTAGTCTCTTGGTCTCTTTCTTCAACTTTCTGCTTTCCCTGCTATTTTTTTTTAAATGTTCTAGCCATGTAGTGCTTTGTCTTCCCATGCCTCCATTCTGTTTTGCATTTGGTTTTTTTCTTGTAGGCCAGTTTGGTCTCTCCAGTAGTCAGTAAGCCTTCCTGATCTACTAACTTCAGTGCATCTTCTTCATTGTCCTTCAGATATTCTTCTGAAGTCCTTTTCTTCTTCTTCAACCATCTGATGTACTTGGAACAATCCACGCCCACCTATTTAGCTTGGTAGGTAGAGTCTGTCAATGTCGTTGCGTTGATGAAAGGCGTGATTCGTTGTCATTTTTTCTGGTCTTCCTATCCGTTGAGTCTAGTCTGCTTGAGTCTAGTCCACTATTCCAGCTGTGTATCTAATGACCGGAATCCCATTTTTCACCCAATATCCAGGAATTCCAGCACTATATTTTTTATGGGAGAGACACTCTGACTCCTCTGATACTTGTCCAGTATGGTTGAACCTCCGACACAGCTCCCATCTTCCTCAGAGCACACAAGTCCCACAACCATGCCAAGGTAGTGTCTCACTAGGGGTCAAGGTGGTTATTATTATTAATTTGTATAACCAGCCAGATGTTTGGACATTTTGATCCACCCACAGGTAGCCCTTGACTGATGATCATAATTGGGACCAGAATCTCAAGTCATTGAGTGAAGTGGCTGTTTAGCAAGATGTCACATGATGGTTCATGTCATCAATCTGCTCTATGACTTCTATCCTGGCACTCCCAGTTGCGGTCATTAAGCAGACGGAATCCCAGGTAAAGAATGTGGGATGCCTTAAGAGTGGGGGGGCCTTCAGAAATTAAAAACCTTGCCAAAATCTAAGGATTTTCAGTCTTTGGGTGAAAAACAGTCGCCTGCGACCTGCACCAGGCCTCCCAGGGTCTCCCCCAACCCTAGTGAGGCACCCCACATTCCTTATCTTGCCCCCCCCCCGACTCTCTGCTTGAGTATGTTTCCTATGGGGTTCTTAGTACTCTCTGCTGGTTTTCTTGCAGACGTTTCATTACCCAACTAGGTAATGTCATGAGTGTGTGAAGAGAGAAGATGGGCCCAAAGTTATCTAGCCAGTTTTCATGTCTTATCATTTAGTACGGTATGTACATGCTGTTCAACTACTGTTATGAATCTAGGTGGATAGCTTTTTACAAAGCTTTTATTGCCTTAAAAAAAGCAGCCAGTTCTTCAAGCAAGGTTGAGGGAACACACTGCTTCCAAGTAAACTGACTGGCCCCAAGTCCCGCTTTTATTATTTTTACAAATAACTCAAGGTGGCAAACATATCCAGTACAACTTCCACCTATTTTCCCCACAACCACCCTGAGTTGGATTTGGCCGAGAATTATTGGCCCAAAGCGACTCAGCTAGCTTTCATGGCTAAAGCAGGTCTTGAACTCAGCCTACAGCTTTCTAGCCTGATGCTTAAACCACTGACTATAGTACTAATATATTATTGCAATCCTGTAGGATAACGGGAGCCAAAAATAAGGAGCCTGGAGATTAAATTGTATGAATGGCTAAGGGCATTTGGTACGTCTAACCTAGCGAAGAGAAGGCTTAGGGGAGACACAACAGCCATCTTCGATACTTGACAGGCTCCACAGACAACAGGGCATCGATTTATTGTCCATAGCACCCAAGGGCTGGACAGGAAGCAACGAGTGGAAACTTTTCAGAGGAATAGTCAACCTGGAAATAGAAAGGAATTTCCGAACAGTAAAAATGATTAATAAATGGAACAGCTTTCCTTCCGGCATTGTGGGTGCTCCATCACTGGAGGTTATCAAGAAAAGATTGGACAATTTCTCTGGGATGGTATTGGGCAGGGGTAGACAACCTTGGCTCTTTTATGACTCGTGGACTTCAACTCCCAGAATTCCTGAGCCAGCATGGCTCAGCTTGGAAACCTCTCCCTTTCCCCTCAGCATGGCTGGCTCAGGAATTCTGGGAGTTGAAGTCCATGAGTCATAAAAGAGCCAAGGCTGCCTACCCCTGCCATAGGCAAAGGACTCTGTATCCCTTTTACAATGTGGAAGCCTTGCTCGATAACATACAGCTGCAATTCAGGCATAAAATGAAGAGGGAGACACAAATTTGGCGCGCTGAATGTTTTATTCCAACTGGCGGGGGGAAAACGGCCTCTTGTGGGAGGAAGGAAGATGAATCGCGTTGTCGCAGGAACACCACAGCCAGGTACTAGGAGAAGGGATGGGGGCAGCTCCCGCCATGCTCTTTACTTGACCTTCTTCTTTGGGCGCAGGTTGTTGGTGTGGCCACACTTCTTCTTACGACAATTCACAGCACGGGGGTGCAGGCGGGCATAGCATCTAGAAGGGAGAAAAAAAGACAGGAGGAAGGAGTCTTGTTACTGGCACAGGCTTAAGCATTTGAACGCTCCAGTTTTGCACCTGGGAATGGACTGTGGGTGCAGAAACCATTCCTGCCTTGATGTGACACAGAGGAGTCAATGAAATGTTCTTAAGAGAGAGACCCACACTTTCAGATAAAGTTAAGTAAGCTGCGGTCTTCCCACTGGGGCTGGACTTAAGCTGCTCACCCCTGACCATCTGGCCAGACCGAATAGAAAGTGAAGTCCAAAATACAGTAAGATACTTTTTCTTAGTTTCTGCATGCCGGTTCTAAATGCATAGCATCTCTATTTGCTGCATGACAATACAAACGCCACATAAGGCAAGGTTTGTGCTCAAAAGTAACCTGCCAGTAGTTCTTTTCATGAACAGAGGGATAGAATCAAGATCACGTGAAGTATTAATACCACATTACAATGCCTTGGTATGGCCACACTTGGAATACTGCATCCAGTTTTGGTCACCACGATGTAAAAAAGATGCTGAGACTCTAGAAAGAGTACAGAGAAGAGCAACAAAGATGATTAGGGGACTGGAGGATAAAACATATAAGGAATGGTTGCTGGAATTGGGTATGTCTAGTTTAATGAAGAGAAGGGCGAGGGGGGACATGATAGCAGTCTTCCAATATCTCAGGGGCTGCCACAAAGAAGAGGCAGCCCCTCTTCTTTGTGGCAATCTCTTCCCCAAAGCACCAGAAGGCAGGACAAGAAGCAACTGGATGGAAACTAATCAAGGAGAGAAGCAACCTAGGACTAAGGAGAAACTTCCTGACAGTTAGAACAATTAACCAGTGGAACAACCTGCCTCCAGAAGCGGTGAATGCTCCAACACTGGAAGTCTTTAAGAAGAGACTGGGCAGCCATTTGTCTGAAATGGTATAGGGCAGGGGTGTCCAAACTTTTTTCAAAGAGGGCCAGATTGGATGAAGTGAACGTGCTGGAGGGCCGAACATTTTTCCGAACATTCTTTGAACCATTACAATTAAATGCAAATGAATTATTTTATGCCTCTTTCCTCTCCCTCTCTTTCCTCTTTCTCTCTCTCTCTCTCTTTCCTTTCCCTTTCCTCTCCCCTCTCTCTTTCTCTTTCCTCTCCCCCTCTTTCTCTTACCTCTCTCTCTTTCTCTTTCCTCTTTCTCTTTCCTCTAACTTTCTCTTTCCTCTCTTTCTCGTTTCTTTCCTCTTTCCTTCCTTTCTCTTTCCTTTCTCTCTTTCCTCTCTCTTTCCTTTGTTTCTCTTTCCTCTTTCTCTTCTCTTTCCTCTTTCTTTCATCTCTCTTTTCTCAATCTTTTTTCTTTCCTCTTTTTCTCTTTCCTCTCCCCCTCGCTTTCTTTCTCTCTTTCCTTTCTCTTTCCTCTCCTTTCTCTCCTTTTCCTCTTTTCTTTCTCTTTCCTCTTTCTCTCTTTCCTCTTTCTCTTCTTTCTTTCCTCTCCCTTTCCTCTCTTCTCTTTCTCTTTCCTTTCTCTCTTTCTCTTTCCTTTCTCTTTCTCAATCTTTTTTCTCTTTTCTCTTTTCTCTCCCTCTTGCTTTCTTTCTCTCCCTTTTCTCTCCCTTTCCTCTCCCTTTCTCTTTCCTTTTTCTTCCTTTCCTCTCTTTCTCTCTTTCCTCTCTTTCTCTTTCCCCTCTTCTCTTTCTTTCCTCTTTCTTTCTCTTCCTTTCCTCTTTCCT